TTAGAGACATATTTTTTCTAAGAAATCTACCAATATTTCTGATCAAGAAAAAATGGGTAAAAGCAAACCAAATTAAATCATATAATAAGAGACTGATCAATCTTAGCATGTTCATATTATCAGAGAGGAAATGTACTCTTCTAATTATGATTTACTGTTCAGCTGTCTAGCTCAATTTAGGATAAGAAGTGGAAATGTTTTTGTTTTCCAAGAAATAAGGATGATAGCCGTATGTTATGAACAGTGCTTTGTTATTCTTAATAGTGGCAAACTGAGCATGAGTGGTTTTTTTTTCCCACAATTTCCTAATTCTACTTGTGTCTAGCTTAAAGGCAGCTTTGTCTGTTTTTTTTTCCCCCACTTTTTGATGAGGCAAAAATTGCCAAGTACCTTTAAAGCGGGCAAAAATATTCCAAAATCAAATATAAAGAAAAAATGTAGCTCTGTGTGGACTGCACTGTTGGCCCTCTCTTCCTGGAAGGCAGCTGATACAATGCCACAGCTGCTTCTTGACACACAGGATTGTTGCTCACTATCCTGAACAGCCAACACCCCCATATAAGAACCACAAGTGGCTTTTAAGGTGATAAGATAAAAGTTTAGCTGCCATATTTTATGACATAATTCAGCCAATGTCTCTTTACAGAGTGCCACTGGACAGCCAACTTCAAACAGCCATAAACATTTGATTATATAGTAATTTAATTTAATGATTTATTTAATCTTCAAATCACAAGAGGCTATTTCCAAAACACTTTGTTGCCATATTGATCCTCTTTTAACCTAAAGGATTAATAATTGATGTTGAAATATAGTTGGAAAAAAGTTGACAATGAACTTCTTTCTAAAGGAAGAGACACCTGGATAGAATATCAGATTTATATATTGGGTGTCCCAGATAACAAAACTTTCAAGTGACCGAACTTTTTAAATCACAAGCATTTTAGATTGAACTCTTTCCAAAATGTCATATATGCTTTCTTGCCATATATATATATTTTTTTGAGACAGAGTCTCATTCTGTTGCCTAGGCTGGAGTACAGTAGCACAATCACAGCTCACTGCAGCCTTGACCTCCTGAGCTCAATCCTCTCACCTCAGCCTCCCAAGTAGCAGGAACTACAGGCACAAGCCACCACATCCAGCAAATTTTCTTATTTTTTGTAGAGGTGGGATCTTGCTAGGTTGATCATGCTGGTCTTGAATCCCTTGCCTCAAGTGATCCATCCACCTCAACCTTCCAAAGTGTAGAACCACATCCAGACCTTTCTTGCCACCTTAAACTGAGTAATGGCACATGCTTTAATATCCTTTGGTGCATCAAAGGTAAGCCTCGTAAATAAGTATGATTCTATGATATAACTGAATGGCATCCTCAGTGAGAACAACTGAGATTTGACGGAACTTTTTGCCTCTAAAATGCCTTCAGAACCTTATACCATTTAGTCCTTTGATTGAATTTTTATAGTTGACACTTTCCCTTTTCACTTAAATGTACCTACCACTGTTAATTTTTTCTTCCCTTTTTATTTGCTATTAAATTTATCATTTACTAAAAATCTAGCTCAGTTAATTTACTGGAAGTATGTGTGCAAATAAGTAAGGCTTTACAAATAATAAATCAGTTTTTCTGAGAATTGTCTGTGGCCTTTAGTGTATATAGTTTGTGTCATAACTTCTCAAGAAGTTTGTTTTTAATTACTCCTGTTTCTTACCTGTCTATTGTCCAGTTAACCAGGTTGCCAGATATGTGACCTTTAGTTAAGAAAAGCATAACTGTAATCATGTAATAATAATCATTGATCTTCACTTATGACTAGGCTGCTCTAAGCATGCTAACTCTTTGCATTCAAATCTGTATTTAAAGTATAGCAGTCACAATAGCGAATGAAATCTAGATGACTTTTCTTTTCAAAGCCTAGGCATTTTCCTATGCGTTTATCCTTTAGACCTCACAAATGAAACCAGATTAAGAGAAGAAGACATGACTTCAGATAGGAGTTTTACAACTCATCCCTTAATACCTTATAAATGGAAGAAAACTCCAAAATTGGAGGATTTTGTCTCCACTAATCTCAGAGATTAAAGAAGGAACAGCAGTAGGAAAACCAGGAAAAATATGGCATTTTATCCTCCTGAAAAGTCGTGATTCTTCAAAATTCTTTTTGAGTTGTATGCACACAGCACCATTTGGTGCTATAAGAAAAGACTTCCATCAAGTAAAAGTTCTAAATCTGGCCCTCAAAAGCCTCTAGGACATGGCTCAACCCACATTTCTCATCTCATCTTCCATTGCTCTCTTTCTGCCAAACCAAATCCTCCCTGATCCCCACATCTCTTTCATCTCTCTGCCTTTGGAGTATTTATTAGGTGCTAATAAGTACTTCTCAGGGGGGAAAGCAGGGGGGGATTCCATGGTCAAATAAATTTGGAAAATGCCGGATTAACCAGCATAAAATGGGTTTCCTTGATATAGTACTTCTCAGAACCTTTTAAAATTCTAATGTTCATTTAAATCTCCAAAGGTAAAATACAGTATAGAAGCAAGATAACCACTCAGTCAGCCTAGAACAGTCTCAATGTATGCCTGTCATCCCAGCATAATTAACAGTGTCCCTTTCAGCTTGTAAAAATGCCTCACATTGTACAATATGGTTTTCCTAGATACAGCACTTTCTAAATTAATTTGACCATTGCTCCATTTTTCACATAATACCTAAGTATGTGGTAGAATACAGTTTGGGTAGCATGACCTTTCCCCACTTTACCAGGCGTCAATGCCTATCCAGATCTCAAATCCCCTCCAGAATAGCTTGCACTGCGGTGAAGGCTTCCCTCGTTATTTGTCCTCCACCACAGCTGAAAGTATCTTGTCCCGCTGGTGAGGATGTAACAGCTGCTTTTCACCTTCACCTGTGACATTTAGCATTTTCTATTCTATTTTTGGTGCAGGCTTCAAGTCTTTCCACTGTGCCATTTACGGTAGAATCCAAGTCGTGTTTCACTTTATCTTCCTGCATTATGCCAAACTCAATAAATACCTTTAATTGATTACACTGGGTTGCACCTGGAGCTGTCTTTGCCTCTCATTATTACAAGGCAGGTTCTCAAAGCAAGCCAAGGCAACTCTTCCTCCTGCCTTCTTGGAGATCTCACTCTGCTGACTGTCTCCCCACTTTCATATCTCCCACAACACTTAAGTATGCTCAGGATTCCCCCATCTTAAATATGCCTGGTTTCTGTCTCCACTGCTGCACTCAAACTGTTCATATCAGGGTCAACAGTCACTTTTTTTTTTAAGTGAGTACTAACTTTAAAAAAAAAAATACTAAATCTTATTAATACTCCTCATTTGAGTTTCAGCTCCGACTCTGAAATGAATTTGCCTCTTTGATTTATACTCTCTTTAAAAGTCTCCAAAGTTTCTCAAAAAGTTAAACATAGAATTATCAAATGGCCTAGCAATTCTGCTGCTGGGTATATATCCAAAGTAAAGGGAAGCAGGGACTCAGATGTGTGTACACCAGTGTTCATAGCAGCATTATACATGATAGTCAAAAGGTGAAAACGACCCAAAATGCCAGTAATGGATAAAAAATATGGGTATATTACATACAATGGAATATTATTCAGCCTTAAAAAGAAATGAAATTCTGATACAAGCTACAATATGGATGAACTTTGAAGACATGCTGAGCAAAAGAAGCCAGATGCAAAAGGGAAAATATTCTATGATTCCATTTATATGCAATACCTAGAATAGGCAAGTTCATAGAGACAGAAAGTAGAATAGAAGTCACCAGGGGCTGGGGAAAGGAGAAATAGGCAATTAATGTTTAAGGGGTGCAGAGTTTCTATTTGGCATGATGAAAAAGTTCTGGAAATGGCTAGTGCTGATGGTTGTTCAACATCGTGAATATATATACATATGTATATATACACGTGCATATATATATATATAAATATATATATGCACATATATATATGTATATTTTGAGATGGAGTCTCACTGTCGCCAGGCTGGAGTGCAGTGGCGCGATCTCGGCTCACTCCAACCTCCGCCTCCCAAGTTCAAGTGATTCTCCTGTCTCAGCCTCCCGAGAAGCTGATACTACAGGTGCACGCCACCACGCCCAGCTAATTTTTTATATTTTTGGTAGAGACGGAGTTTCATTATGTTGGTCAGGATAGTCTTGATCTCTTGACCTCGTGATCTGCCCACCTCGGCCTCCCAAAGCGCTGGGATTACAGGTGTGAGTCACTGCACCCAGCCTCAACATCATGAATATAGTTAATGCCACTGAGTTGCACCACTTAAAGATAGCTAAAATGATTAATTTTGCATTATGTATATGTCACCACAATAAAAAGAAACAAAAGTGTGTAAAATATTAAAATTCCTGAAATAAAAAACATTTGTAGTCAATAGAGTAAAATCAGCCTCATGACTCCCTTCTGTTCAACAAGAATCTCATTCTGGGAGAACACCTGAAGTGGGGAATTCCCAGTCAAGGTAGGCGGCCTCCTCAAGCATATTGGAAAGACCTTTCCACTTAAACTTATCTCTAGTCCTTTGGGTTTCACAGCCACACCTCATTTTACCAGTACCGATGTTTCTGTAAAGTTGTAAGCTAAACCATATCTTCCCAGGTCATAACCTCGGTTATATAGGCAGAAGAGTTTTATCTAAATTAAAATTGCTGTGCAGGTGGTGGCATTGCTCCAAGCTTTTCCTTTGGGTTTCTCCAATCCTTTTCTTCCCCTACCTAACACACCTCTGCAAAGAGGATAGTGATTTGTAAACAAATAGGTAAGCAAAGAGAGAGCCAGCTATTTGTAAAGTCAAAAGGGGCATCAAAGGGAAGGGGCAACATAGTCCACTCCAGCAGGCACAGATTAACTCTTTTATTGAGCTTTGTCAATGCTCCAATTCCCTGCCTGTGGTGTATTTTATACTTCTATAATATACTGTCGGTCATGAATGGTCTGCCCCCTATGACCAGATCTCCTGTAACAGCAGGGAGCTAAATCAGGGAGGGTGATTTCTCCAACTTTTTAAAAGCAACATATTATTTGTTAGTACTCATTGGCGATGTCCCCATAGCCTGACAAGAAAGTCCTTATCCCAAAGCCTGACAATTCTCAAATCCCACATAAAGCATCTTGCTCCCTCAAAGAGTTTTCTGTAAGTCTATCACAGGAGAAAGCCTCTAGTGTTTCAAATTACGGATTTTTGGTGGGGGTTGGTAGTGCTTGGGAGTGCCTTGTAAAATTCTCACTCAAAAGATAAGTAAGATATTCAAAATTCTGCTTGGGATAATTATTACTGTTTGGCGTTTGCTGGATTTGAGGGAGGATACATCAAAGCAATGAGGCTTTGCAGAATACCAAGTCATTAAGTCCTGAACATGGGCTGTGGTCGTGGAAAAGAAATGATTCCAAAAATATTAAAAACATGAGACAAGAGGACACTTGGTATCTAAAGCATTCATCACACTGTGTGTTTTTCCTTAGCTTTTCTGTGTTATCTGATGGCATAGGAGAAAATTTCCTATTAGAAAGCCTCTTTCACTCTCCATCTCAATTTTTTTGTTTGTTTTTTTTTGTTTGTTTGTTTTGTTTTTGCCACAGAGCTCTCTACTCCCATGGAATTTCATGGAGATCCCATGAAACTGTGCATGAATTGTGCCTTCTCCAGAGACACTCCCTCATGCACATGATACTGGCCTCAATTTTGTAACTGCGTTTATGACTGATTTACGGAACTTTTACTTGGCAGGCCCTGCTGTTACTGTTAGCTGGTTACTATGGATCTTTCAACATGCCACTCTGGCATGTTGCATTAAAAATAACCTCCCAAGACTGTACAGAATACATAGAACAACGGGAGTACAGTCATAGCCGCAGACGCCAGAGTCTGCTTTGGTGCCTATGTGTTTGCATGTGCTCCTAGGTGAAGTAACTACAGGAAAATCATTCAAACACTTTCTAAAACGTCCACTTGCATCACAATTTTTCTAAGCTTTCCCGAAGCAGAGGCTCTCAGCGATCAACAACATCTCAAACAACTGTGAACCCAAAGAATAACAAAACACAAATGATAAGTGTTTGTTAAGGGCACAGATCCAAAGTCACCGTGTCTGGGTTTGAATCCAGGCTTTCACACGTAACTAGTCCCAGGATCTCAGCAAGTTATACCACAGCCACAGCTATCTCCTCTGCAAAATGGAGTGATAACATCAATCTCAAAGCACTGTTCTGAGAATTAAGGGAGCCATCCAGAGAAGAGTTCTTGGTTCAGTATTAATGTCAAGAAGGTGCTCAATACACAGATTATTATCCTTTGAACTCCTTTGAACAAGTAGTTGCTTAATAAATATTTGTTGGCTGAAAGGGTAACACCCAGCTATTCATGTATGTGTCTGATCCCCTTTTCTAGATTATCTACTGCTTTAAATCAGTTATATTTCATTCATCTTTGTATTCTCACAGCTCTACGATAGTTGCTGAATAAATATTTATTAAATTAAATGCAAAGATAAAGTCTGTTTTAAAGGGCAACAGTTAATATGTAAACTGGTAGCAAAAAAAAAAAATCACAGGCTTTAAGTGCAAATAGAATCCAGTGCCAAGAAAACACTGACGTTCCCTGAAACTAAATGAATACAAGTTACACATGAATACAATATTTGTAATGCTAGGTCTGGTTCAGTGAGTCTGGTTCTAGCTGGGTATTGCAGAGAAGAGAAAAGCTTTTATCTCTAGCCCACCCCTGGCCTCAGCCCATGAGCCAGGCTTGCCCATAACTCAAGAGAAGAATTGCTCTCCCAGAGCCAGACACCACAGTCACCACAAGCCAATAGTTTCCTTATGCCACTTTAAGCGTCATTGGATTTGGTGACAACACAAGCAGAAGACTTCTGCCGAGGACACAGGACCAGGATAGTATATGCTCTGCCCTGGGTTCCACTCACAGTGCTCAAATCAGCATGAACAGAGCTGAGTTCATGCAGAGGGAGACAAGGCCAACTCCTTCTTTAGGAAAGCCAGGGGCCACTCTGGATCCTAACTGCAGAAAACGCTAATAGGTTTCTGTGACTGTGAACTCCTATCTAACCTCCAGAGCCAAAATGAAAATAATAAATCTGTTCAGATAGAGAGTATGTGTATGCATTTGTGTAGGACACTATTTCCTTCCTTTCTGATAGGTTGTCAACATCTCCAGCTGAAGACTACCAAAAACACAACTCTAGCTGATTAAGTTAGATTTATTACACATTGCCACATGGGATAACATTCATTATGGGGAATCCATGAGGCACCCAGCAAGATGGTGTTAGAAATAACCTATTATAAAATGTGGGCTTGAGGCCTTTGGGGAGGCTCTACAAAAGTGGAAGTTCATTTTAGGTGGGTTCTGTCAGAAAGTGGAGACAATTCTATGATTAGGTATCTCAATAAATCTTACCTATAGGAAGAGCAGAGTAGGGCAAAGATAAAGCTGTAATTGCCAAAGAAGTAACAGTCCATTACATTAGGCAAGAAAGAGAAAGGTTTGATAACTTGTGACTTTGTATTTCTGTTCTAACACTGCTAATATAGACATACCTGAGACTGGGTAATTCATAAAGGAAAAGAGGTTTAATTGACTCACAGTTCCACATGGCTGGGGAGGTCTCATAATCATGATGGAAGGTGAAAGGCACATCTTACATGGCAGCAGACAGGAGAGAGAATGAGCGTCAAGCAAAAGGGGTTTCCCCTCATAAAACCATCAGACCTCGTGAGACCACAGAACAGTATGAGGGAAACCACCCCCATGATTCAATTATCTACCACCAGGTCCCTCCCACAACATGTGGGAATTATGGGAGCTGCAATTCAAGATGAGATTTGGATGGGGACACAACAAAACCATATCAGACTTGGACAACATTAATGTTTTGTCTGTGTTCAAACATGATTATAGAGTCATTATCTTGATCCATCAGGGTCACAGAGTGGGTCTGATTTGATGGGGCATGTTCTGTGAAATTGATTATATCCAACAACAGAAAACTAAGACCTAGTTGTAAACACCAGGCCAGCTGGTAACACCAAGCTGTGCCTGGAATAAAGCAGGATGCCAAGAGCTGCTTTCTCTTTCTTGAGTGTCACTAGACAATAGAAGAGAAAAGTGGTAGAAAAAGTAGAAATGTATTTCAACAAATGTCCTGACAAAGTCTCTTAAGCTTGGTACAGCTACACATTTTAAATGACTGATGATGGTACCCAATCAATACAGATTAAATATCAAGTTGAGGTCAACCTGCACTATCTACTGATATGCACAGTGTCATCCTTTGTTCTGTCTTGTCAAGTTGCTTATCATTGAAGGCCTGTGTTCAAAATCTGAGAAGATAGTAAATATATTAGTTAGCAGATCTGGATCAAAAAAGAATCTCCGCAGGCATTAATGATAGCCTGAATCAAATAAAATGAACTTTAATAACAATTCATGTAAAGCACTAATTTGGGGTTCAAAACAAATTAATACAAGGACCAAATGAAAGACACATGGCTGGGAAGAAACAGAAGGGAAAAAAACTAATAGTTTAGCAGCTGGCTATGTTTTATTGCAGTCAACAGTGGCCACTAAAAAAAAGTCGTGTAATTTTAGATTGCATTAATGGAAGTATGGAATTTTTAATAAAGAAACTGACAATCCTATCTATTCTACACAGGTCTCACAATACCTAAAATTTTGTGTTCAATTCTGGGCATTCTTTTGAAGAATATAATGTCTCAATCAGAGAAAGTGACTGATTCTCTTTCACTTAGAAAGTCAACATGGGTCATGCCAAAACAAAAATGCAAAATCACCGGAAGAGTGATTGATGAAGTGATAGATATTTAGCCTGGAGCACAGGAGACCCTGAGGAAATATGAAAACTCTCTTCAAGTGTTTTAAGTACTGTCATATAGAAGAGCAGTTAGATTTTAGACCATTTTTGTTTGGTTTAAGGATCTAGGATCAGCTAAAGTTAAAGGATAGCAAATTTTACTTTTAAGACATACACACACTCACACAATGACCCCAGAAACCATTTTTCAATTGAGAAAGCAAATTCCCCATGATTAGCATTCTGCAAGCAAATGCAGGACTAGAGGTGAAGATATTGTGGGAGAGATTCAGGTATAATATAATGGATTTCTAACCTCCTTGATTAGAACTTTTAGATAGTAAATACCTATAGTATGATATTCTCTTGATATCTTTCCGGATTCTGAATAAGGCTGACATGTTTCCACTAGAAGTTATTTTTTTCTAGGTGCCTCCCATTCAGAACCTCATAGAATAATATGACATTTATCAAATATGTATAGCTCAGTAAAACTCAAGTCTGTCCTCAAACAATTCAACTGTTTTGAATTTGGCTAACTGATTTGTGGTTCAAAATCATCTGCCTACCTGTACCTATCTATATCTTAAGTTATTTGCTTTGTATGTGAATACTAAATACTCTGCATTACAAATTCTATTTGTTATTTTGAGAGCCACACTGTTCTGTGCTACCTTCTATCCTTGTATGATGACTAGATTTACCTTTGCAACAATATAGTTTAGTTTCACAGAACTTGCAAGTTGTAAGCTTTTATTATGATCTCAACGTTCCTAAAACTCTTCATCCTCTCCCGAAATGACAGTGAAAGACTAGTAAATACGGAAAGGAATGCTTTCTGAAAGCACACCATTGTCTCTTAATTTATAACAGACTAAACTTCTATTCTTCAAATTTTCTTAATGTAAGTCTTGCATATAATTAGTATTTTTAAAGCTCAAATAAGTGTGTACAATATTAATTTGTTTTGCATGAAGCCTCCTTTTAGTCTGGGTTTCCTAGAAAGCAGAGCCTGAGGCCAGGTACTAAGTGTTGATGGTTTATTTGGTAATACAATCCTAGGTCAACAAGAGTGAGGCAGAAAGAAAATAAAACAGGAAAAGATGGGAAAACATACAAGGAGAAATATTAATGTTTCCATGCTGGCCACTGATTTACAATGAGCCATGAAGAGACACAACAGGTCTACTGACTGACCTTACAGAGAAACTGCCTCAAAGAAGGGGAAGAAAAAGGGATTGTATCTGCCTAATTCCATCCTGACTCCTGTTTTCCATTAGTCAAGTTTGGTCCACAGGCAGTCTGTTTCCTAGCCCTTCCAGGTAGTTGCATTCAGCCCCTTTGATATTTACTTAGAAAGAGATTCCACACATCGCTGTGCAACATTTCACTCAAATTAAAAAGTGGCAGAAGAAGCTACATAGCCCAGCCCACCCAGCAATTGGGTAGCAGTGGGTGCCGGTACAACCTGGCTCTTCGGCTAAGAGTAATGGTTCAGGAGATGTTGGTGCAGAGCAACCTGAGGAAGCACTCAAGCTGCTTCTGAGACACTTTCTCTGACCTTCTAAACCTCTGTCACTTTCTGCTTTTAGTGAACTCTTATCACTTCATCTACACGCTCTATGACACAGACTTCTAGTGCCCACACATACGTGAGCATCCTCTTCCTCCTAGATACACAGATGTCTAGTTCCTGACTCCTTGCAGTCAGGTGAGGTCATGTGACTGGTTCGGGTAACACTCATGAGAAAAAGTGCTTTGTGTGCTTCTGGGCCAAAGTGTTTAAGAGAGATTACAAGTTCTCACACACTCCCTTTCTCTGCCGCAGCAACCCTCGAAGCCATGCTGAAATGGTGGAGTCACAAGATGGAAATAGGCTGAATCCCAGACACAGCATGTGTAGAAAGGAGCTGTATTGGTATTTCATCAGTCAGACCTCTTGGCTGACAAATAATGGAAATCTGCTCTAGGTAACTGAGGCAAAATATCAAAGGGAAGCTGGAGAAGCAGATTCAGAAAGCAGGTGAGAATCAGACACTCCAAAACAAGAGTCATAGTCAAAGTGAAGCCATAGGAACAATCTGGTTAAAATACTGCTGCTGGTTGCATCATCCCTGCCCCAGGGGACATCACTGCTGCTAGACTCTCTTTGCCACCACAAATAATTTCTAAACAATCCTGTGTCTTTGGGTCACTGTTTTCAGGATAAAATTACCAAGGGGAGACATGACCTCAGCTTACATCATATATTCACACCCTAGATACAAGAGGGGTAAGACAAAAGGGACGTCTGCCCCATTCTGCTTCCATTTCACCAGAACCACACATTGGGGCATGTCCACAAGAGAAAAGGAGCTTGAATATTGATCACACACACACACACACAAATCCTACAAATATCCACTGCAGTCATACGTTACTTTATTTGTGCTACAAAACCTGGCTCATTTCCTTTCTTGCAGTAGTCAATGAATAAATATTTGGGATTGATGAACTGAATAGTTTAACTTTACGGAAAATAAATGAGAAGCTACAGAATTTCGGCACCTAAATAGGTGCTAAATAGTCTTTTTCTGATGAGCACAAATGAGGACTTTAAAAGGGAATGAAAATTAGGAACAGAAGGTTCTAAGTCAATGGTGCCTATTGTTATAGTTACTATTAGCCTTCCTTGTAGGCAGACCTTTATCATTTCATTTCTATGTGTGTCTATACATCTGTTTACTTTTTCCCTCTAAAGCTCTATTTCCTGAGGAAATCAGAAGTCACCAGACCAGAGCATTTTTGTCTTTACTTCTTCTTTATTGAAAAAAATGCATGACCCCAATTATCACCTCTAGCTCAAGCACCTCTAGCTTATATGCCTTGGGTGACTGCTTCCCATTATCTGCAGAAAGTTTGAGATAAATTGGGTGGGGCTGGGGGGCAGGGATCTATATCCTTTTGTTCTTTGGTGCTTTTTCTACCCTACAGTATGTCACTGTCTGTCTCAAGGAGCCAATCCTGAAAAAAGAAAGCGATTCTAGATATATAGGTAATAGCTTACTAGGAAGTTACTAAAGGTAATGGGTATTTTCATAACCTTTTGAGACTCCTCAGAAAATGTTCCTTGGTGCAGAAGTAAAATACTGTTATGAATGGATCCACGATCTGAGTAGGTTAGTATGTCTTCTAAAGTTCTTGAAAATGGTAATTAAATCCTGAACTCCGAGCTTCAGTAGATCGTCCTGGTCATTTCTTTAGAATGAACTGAAACAAGGTGAGTAGTGATCAGTGACCAGGATGCAGGCTATGAAGATTAAAAAGAGAAAGCATAAGCCGGGCACAGTGGCTCACACCTGTAATTCCAGAACTTTGGGAGGCTGAGGTGGAAGGATCACTTGAGGTCAGGAGTTTGAGACCAGCCTGGGCAACTTGGTAAAACCCCATCTCTACTAAAAAGGAAAAAAAATACAAAAAGAGAAAGCATAAATATAAGAAAATTTTAATATCTTCTTCAGCAGGGTTAGATGCCAGGAAGAAAATGGTACCACTCAAAGCAGATAGGCAAACATTTCAGCTCCCCTGTTGGCAACATATGGGCTCATCCCCAGGGTAAGTGCTAAGACAGTGATAGTTTTGGCCATAATCAGCAAAGCAACAGTCAGAGGCAACCCGCCCCAGGGAAACAACCTGAAAGGTGTTCACTCCTCACTTTTCACTCTTAAAACACATAGAATTGTTTCAAATATCCTAACAAAAGGCAACCAGGGAAGAATTGCATTTTTGCCTTCAATGATAACCATAATTGATTGAGTGGGTACTATGTGAAATCCCTAGGTGTCTGACATATACTGCTGTATACACTGCTTATAGAATTTTTACAGATGAGGGACTCAAGCTCAGAGATACTATAATTTTTCCAAGATTGCATGACAAATAAATGGCAGAGCTAGGAACTGAGCCTAAGGATGCTTGATTCAAGATGCATCTTCTGTTTACTGAACCACATGTCTCAAAACAAATATGCTGTTATTCACAATAGTCAAGACATGGAACAAACCTGTGTCCATCAATGCAAGAATAGTTTATGAAAGTGTTTTTATACATACATATGATGAAATATTATTCAGTCTTTAAAAAGAAGCAAATTCTGTCATTTGTAACAATGTGAATGAATCTGGAGGACATTATGCTAAAATATACCAGGCACAGAAAAACATATACCACATGATTTCACTTATATATGGAATCTAAAAAAGTCAAACTCATAGAAATAAAGGTGAGAACATGATTACCAGAGGTGGGAGAAGGGGAAAGGAATGGAAAGAGGTTGACCAAAAGGTACAAAGTTTCAATTAGATAAGAGAAATAAGTTTTCAGTATCTATTGCGCAGCAAGGTGACCATAGTTAATGTGTTGCATAGTTCAAAATTGCTAAAATGATAAATTTTAAATGTTCTCACTATAAAAAATAATTATGTGAGGTGATTAATATATCAATTTGCTTGATATGATCATTTCTCAATGTATACATATATATATCAAAGCATCACATTTTACCCCATAAACATACACAATTACTATTTGTCATTTCAAAGAGAAATTTAAATTTAAAAAATAAATATGCTGAAAAAGAAGGCATTTGACATATGATTTTTTAAAATGCTGCTGTGAATTACATTAATTGGTGATTAGCATGCTATTTCCTTTGGTGGCATACTAACTCATTGACAACAAAGCAAAAAGCTTTTTCATGGTAATATTGTGTCACATTTCTTAATAAATTTAGGAATCTTTTGTCAATAGTACTGGGAAATTCTGGTTATAGCTCTTTGACAACCTTGCCATCCATTATTAGATAAGGAGATATACTTTATTTAATATGAAACTTCTGCTTGAAAAAAAATCAGTTTAGAACATATTACTTATTTCATATTACTTATAACATTTTACAAAGGCCCCCAAATAAAGGCTATTCAGACATAAATAGCCATAAATATTGCCTCCCTGAGAATATGCTTGGTGTTCCTTTTTGATGAGAATTATGTGACTTTCTGTGTTTCCCGTTTGCCCTAGCTTCCAGAATTAAATCTGATGCTCAGCAACAGAAGGACATGTTAATCCATACATTTAGCATACTTGCTTCCTCTTCTTTCCTTTGTTCTCATTTTATCTAGTCATCCACTTATTCAATAATTATTTGAGTGCCTAATACATGCCAGACACTTTGAGCAAAACTTGAGTTCCCACCTCAAGGACCTTGTAGTCTTGTGAGAAAACTTACATGAAACAACTAGTTATAAAATCATATAAGTGCTATTATAAAATTATGTACATGGGACAATGGTAGGACAGCATAGAAGCATCAGATTGACAAGGAATTTTGAGCTGAGTCTTAAAATATGATAGAAATGCGATGGCTAGGTGGTTGGGTCGGAGTGAGGGGCTGGGAAAGAGTATTTCAGCCAAATTTACAATCATTTCACTTTTATTAACCTTATTGAATAGATATAATTTTATCTATATTATCTTATTGAATAGATATAATATTTTATCTTATGAATTATATCTATTAATATAATTTTATTAAAACATATTTTAAATCTTTTTGGAAACAAGGTGGGAGATTATTAGATATATAGACAGATAAAGACGGATTGATAGATAAATAGACAACAGAAATAAACAGATTGATTTCCATGCAATGGAACCTTGTACAGTGGGTTGCAGGGGGAGAGACAGACAGCCAGAACAACCTGATCACAGACTCAAGAATGAAAGGTAGGTCGGGCGCGGTGGCTTGCACCTGTAATTCCAACACTTTGGGAGGTCATTGCACTCCAGCCTGAGTGACAAGAGTAAAATTCCATCTAAGAAAAAAGAGAGAGAGGGAGAGAGTGGATCTCATATGTTCTTTCCACGCACCAAAAAATGTAATACTGTGATTAATATGTCAATGAGCTTGATTGTGATAATCATTTTGCAATGTATGCTTATATCAAAACCATTTTGTATACCTTAAATACATAACAATTTTTATTTGATAGTCATACTCAATAAAGCTGAG